AAAAAAAAAAAAAAAACAAAAAAAAGTTAAGGAGTGCCCTTAACCTTGCTTTATGTCATTTTGTCACTTTGGGCCAAAAGTCTCTAGAATGCTTTTAGTATGGATTAACCTCAGTAGGTTGTGTTTTTATGTCTTGTATGTCATGTTGGACTTCGACTGTATTTCTTCGCATACATTTTGTTATAAGATCATCCAATGCCCATGGATGGGAAAGGAAGCAGTTCAGACATGGTAGAAGGAGACCCAGATTTGGAATCAGAAAACCTGGGTTTGTCTGATTCTGGCTGTTTATAAGCTGTGTACCTTTGGTGGAAATAACCTTTTTGAAGCCCTGTTTCTAGGTTTTTGGGAAAATCAAGAGTTTGTAAAGGTGCTTTGTGAATTTGAAGTCAAATATTAGTTATAAAGTGTACATATAAGGCAAAAAAAAAGTAACATGGATAGCACAATTTTTCTGTAGTCAGGAAAACATCCTGTAGTTTTGGGAGAGTAGCCTGTGGGTGATCACAGTGGGGCAAGTAGAAGCCTACTCTGTCTTCCTGGGGCTCTCACACTTCCTAGGAAGGGCCCAGGACAACTGAGTAGGGATGCTGGGTAGGGTGATTGGAATAAGGGAAGAGACAAGAGCAGCTTAGTGTGTTGGTCAGGAGGCAGTGAGGTTTGGGGGCTTCAAGGATTGAGCAGAGCAGTTAGGGAAGTACCCTCTATCCAGTCCCTTTATCCTATCCTCCTGCCTGCCTTGCTGAGGCCAGATATGGGGGTAGGGCAGGAGATTTCCCCTTTCTGCTTGACCAGGACATGGAACTTGCTGGAACAAACAACAGCAGCCACTGATCCTGGGTTGGCAGCTAGCAGAGGGGGCAATAGAGTGGGAGACTGGAAGAGCAGGAACTGGGGCCAGACAGAAACTTGGTGGCCACCATGGGGAGTGCCTATGTCAGGGACAGGACCCAGGAAGAGAAATGCCCACTGGGCTAAGACATCTGGAGGCGTAGGCAGCTGGCCACATGTAGATGAGGTGTCTAATTTGCATGAAGTAAATGGAGACTTCATTTGTGAAAAAGATGATTACACACCCCACCCTAATTTAGGTTTATTATGTGGACATGATTTTGAATTGTTTCATTCTCTCACTCCCTTAATTATATCAAGCTTTACTCAATTAAATAAAAACACTTGTGCTGGTAAGTACTGTAGTAGAGTTTGGTAAAACATTGTTTCTATTGTTAGGGAGTTCCAATCTATTTTTTTAAACAAGATTCTAATAACAGGAGAAGAATAATTTCAGTAAAGAGTCCTTTCAGTTCTCATAAGACTGAAAATTGATATAATGTGACATATAATCTAATACAGAGTTTCTTTAATTGTAAGAGTTAATGCAGTATTCCAGAGTGTATAATTTAAGAGTGTAAGCAATACATGTGCTGCCAGCAACATTATAAGAGCCTCTTAAAATTGTCAGCCATAAGGATTGTGATGCTTTGAATTAGATTACAAAGGAAACCTTTCCTTGAACACTGTTTTCTTATAGAATAAGTTTGGATTATTATATATTTTAAATTTATAGTATTCTTCTGTTCTGTTTTTTTTTTTAACTGTTGTATTTACCTCAGTTCCTTAGAATGCCAAAAATTGGCATATGTGTTTAAGTGGAAAAAATGGCTTACCAACTTTGTTAGACTCCCAAAAGATACAGACAGGTTGATAAATCTCTGGAATAAATTTAAAGAAAATAATTTGAGATTTTCTTTCTGTAGGCAAGAAGGCAAGAAAAGCTCTTTAGGGCTGCCTTCAAAAGTTTGTGTTATTTTATGTCTCTGTTCTTAAATGCTCACAAAGTAGTATTTTCTTCCTAGGACAGTATTTCAGTTTTTAAATAAAATATATCTGAATTTTTATGCAAAAATTAATGACATAAAGTGTGCTGCTTATATCAACAGATGAATTGTAACATTTTTTCCTTTGTTTTTTTTCTTTGAGACAGAGTCTCACTTTGTCACCCTTGATAGAGTGCTGTGACATCATAGCTCACAGCAACCTTAGACTCTTGGGCTCAAGCAGTCCTCTTGCTTCAGCCTTCCGAGTAGCTGGGATTACAGGCACCTGCCACAATGCCCAGCTGATTTTTTCTATTTTTAGTAGAGATGGGGTCTTCTTCTTGCTTAGGCTGGTCTCCAACTCCTGAGCCCAAGCAGTCCACTGGCCTTGGCCTCCCACAGTTTTAGAATACAAGCATGGGCCACTGGGCCAGGCCCTTTCCCTTTTATCTTTAAAAATGAGGGAGGGAAAATAGGAATACTTTGGGGATAGGGCTCCCTTGTCTCCTTTCATCCTCTTCTGCAGAGGCCGTGCAGTGCGGAACAGAATTCTGAAAATCGCCTCTCTTTCTTGGTTTACCTGCTATGTGTTCTACGCAAGTTACTTAACTACTCTGTGCTTCAATTTCTAGTCTGTATACTATGGGCTGTTATATGTGAACATATATTGAGAGAGTTAGTAAAGCACTTCTTCAAATCCTGCCTATGTAATAACCATTCAGATGTTAGCTGTTTTATTATTGTCATCATTATTACTAAGTTGAATGAACAAAGGAGTTCAAATCATTGGACAGATTATAAATGAGCCTTGGAGACTAGGAAAGAGTACCATTGTCTTGCCAGGTACTCCTACTCCAAGGATTGTCTACTGTCTAATTCTAAAGGGAGCAAGTTTAAAGGAATTAAATTAGGAAGGTACCAAAGGTATCTTGTACCTCTCATCCTTCTGAGAAATTATGGTATTAACATTTTAAGGACATGAATGGATGATGACCTTGACAAATCTTAATTATCACTCCAGAATTGTGATGGTCAAAGGCCAACTTAATAGCATAATGTGAAATGTATTGCTGTTAAAGTCAGCAGAAGTCAATGATGCCTTCTTTTACCAGAATTATTTATTATTATTCTAGAAGTTTATCATTATTATCAAAAGTGAAAAAGAAACTTACTAGTAGAATATAAAAAAGGAGCAAAATTATCATTGGTAAATAATGTTTAAAATGAAGAATAAAGATAAGCTCAAAACTATATGAACTGATTGGTAGTTTAGTGAATGAGCTAAAAATATATTACAAAATAAATACTCTTCAAAAATACATTAATAATAATATCTAGTAATGTGTAGTAAAAAAAAAGATTTCACAAATATTAACAGAAAAAACTGTTAAACTTCCAGGGGAAACTTTAGAAATCTGTATTAATAATACCTATTAGATTTTTTTCAAGGGCAATTAAAAAGGAATTTGAATAATTAAAGGTATACATCATGCTTATGGATGTGAAGTCTCTATATTGCAAACGATACTTCCCAAGTTAATTTATATGTGAAAACCCAGTTATGATCACAGAAAGATTATCAAAGTGTGACAGGTCTCTAGTATGATAAAGGTGGCATTTACATTCAGTGAGAGAATGATTTATTGAGAAAATGATAGCTGAATCATTGAGAAAATAAACACCAAATTTTATTACGGTGGGATGAAATTTTTAAAGACAGAAATCGAAAAGAAACAAAAAAAGGTTTGTCAATAAGGAAAAAATTAAAATTTGAAAAGATCAAAATACCTTAAAAATGTAAATAATAAGTTAAATATTTATAACTTCAGTGATCTAGAGATAATAACTTTGTCTTTTGTAAGCATTTATGTCTCTAAGGCAACATGTATTTTTAAATTAAAAAATATTATTAAATGCTACTTTAAGGGTAAGGGTAAGACAGTAAAATCAGAGCTGTTTAGTTTTCATTTCTTTTCTTTCGTTTTTTTTTTCTTAATTTTCTTTTTTTGTAGAGACAGAGTTCTGCTTATTGTCCAAGCTGGTCTCAAACTCCTGGGCGCAAGCCATCCTCCTGCCTTGGCCTCCCAAGATGCTGGGATTACAGGCATCAGTGCATAGCCTGGTTTTTATTTTATTTTCCTAATTCGGAAACATAATTCATAAACTTAAGTTAGTAGCTATTTAGCCAGAAGCCTTCAATCAGATGTATCTTATGATACAAGGAAACCAAATGGTGCTTTCTGGGTTTATCTTAAGGTGTTTGTTTTATTGGCTTGCTTTCTTTTATTTCTTCTTCTTTTTTTCTCATTATTTCATTTTAAATTTGTTTAAAAACAAAAGTAATATCTATCATAAAATTGCAGACATTGCAGTAGTATGTAAAAATGGTAGTTCCTTCTTCTAGTCCTATCCCCCCCCCCCCGCCCGCCACCATATTTCTCTGTTCCTTTGAAAGTTAATTCTTCCCATGATTAGATTCCTCTTGGTTCTGTCACTAGTTTCTATCTAATGGTTTCTGTACAGTGTTTGGGAAATATTAGGCCTGTGTGTACTTTGCTGAATGAATGAAAATCGAGCGAGTGAAAGAAAATAGAAGCTGTGTGCTTAATTCTTTTATGTCCAGTCTACTGGAATTGTAAGCATAGCCCTGTGGCTTTTTTTGAGGAACCAGTATTCTTTCGCCAGTCCCTAAGACTGCAACATTTACACATCTCGGTATTTGTCATTCTTATCTTTGAAATGCTTTTCTATAAGGTGAAAATATTTCTTTATGCTAAAATAGTAATGCAAATTTCTTTTTTCTTCTAGCTGCCTTTGCAGCAGTGTTGCACTGGTAAGATTATCTTTTCTCCTATGGTATTTTATGCAAATATTTATGATTTACCAAAGCTTTTCTCTGTGCATTTAAAGGAATAATTTCAGCACAGTAAGGATGAATATACATATATACATGGATTTATATATATGAAATAGATGTAGCATAGTAGCCTGAGTTTAATTGATAAATCAGGGCCAGAATAATCGTAGTAATAAAAAAGAGATCTATTATTAAAGAGGCTATATTTGATACTGTACCTCACTTAACATTAATATAGTATTCATGTTAAGAAGATTAATTTTTTTAATCTTCTAGATAGAAACATGAATTTCATTAGATATTTCTAAAATGGTAACCCAATGACATTTATAGTTTAATTTATACTTTTATTGTACTTCATTTAAAATATTCTGGTGCGTTTTAATTTTAAAATGTAATTTGAACGTGTTTCCTTAATAGAAATTTTAGTAGAAAAGATGTACTGAGTAGAAAACAAATATGGATACTCTTGGTTTTCTTACTAAATTATCTACAATAGATACTTTGATTTTTGTATTTAGAGTTACTTTTAAAAATAGTACGTGTAGGGTAAGTTTTAATGCTGTTGCTTTGTTTTGTTTTTCCAGGAGCCATATAACACACCTCTTTGAAAATGACCGTCATTTTTCTCACCTCTCAACTCTGGAAAGGGAGATGGCTTTTCGCACTGAAATGGTTAGTTTATATGTGGCATTTTATCATAGTATTTTAGAAATTACACACATTTTAAGCTTTCTGTCATGGAAGTTTTCTAAAAGCTATTCCAAGTGGAAAGAGTACATAACAACCCCCACCCCACCCTCCTGCTTCTGTAGCTGCAACACACAGCCAGCGTTCTTCATCTACACGTCCCTCATCTGTCTCTTTTTAAAGGAACTCCTAGATGTTATATTATCTCATCTGTTAATAATTTCATAATTATCTCAAAATAAAAGATTCTTTTTTTTTTATTAATAACCCTGGCACACTTGAGAACAATTAACAATAGTTATTTAGTGTCACCAAATAAAAAATTCATATTTAAATGATCTGACTTACATTTTTATTAATGCTGTCTTTAAAAAAAAAAAACACAAAAAAGCAAAAAAAACTGTGTTTGGAAGAGGATTGAAACAATGTCTACATGCTGCACTGCATTTACTTGATGTATCTCCTAAGGCTTTTAATTTATAAATTCCTCTTTCTGTTTTTGTTTTGTTTTTCCTGCTGTTTATTTGTTGAAGACTCCAGGTCATTTGTCCTGTAGAATTACTTACAGTGATTCTTGTTTATTATATTTATCTATCCCAAGTTTACTGATAATTGATGGGTCAGAGTTTTGACAACTGAGGAGTTGACATTTTTCCTGGCAGGAACACTTCCTAGGTTGTGTGGTGCTCTTCCTGTTGTATCACACCAGGAGGCATACCATATCTGGTGGTCTTCCTTCTGTGATGGTAGATCAGTGGCTTTAGGTGTTGGTATGCTGACCTCTTCATCATAGCCACATCATCAGCCTAGGTCAGTTATTTCAATAACATTGCCAAACTGTGATCATCTATTCTATCTTTTTTTCTTATACGTATTAACTATAATTTTTTTAAGTCATTCTCCCCTCCCCCCCCAAGTCAGTCTTGCTCCTTTGCCCAGGCTGGAGTGCAGTGGCATAGTCACTGCAGCCAGAGCTCATTGCAGACTTGAACTGGTATTCATCCCGGGCTCAAGTGATCTTCCTGCTTCCAACTCCCATAGTGCTAATTTACTAGGCATTAACCACTGTAACCTGTCCACTATAAGACTTCTATAAAGAACTTTCCCAAAATACCTATTTGGTTTTCCTTCATAGAGGAAAGATAGGAAAATGCTTGATTCTTTTTACTTACCAGTTTTCATAAAAATGAGTAGATTCCCTATCATCTTCTAGTGGTGACTGCTGGTACCTTCCTATGGTGTGTCATTATCTCGTGATGGGTTTTAACATACTTTGTAAACTTTCCTTCTTTAACTAGTGAAAGCCCTTTGCAGTTCACTCTGCTTGCTCTTGGCATGACTTTACCAGTGTTCCGTTGCTTCCTTACTTTCAAGTACTGTACATAAGGTACATTTTACTCCCAGATCAGACATCGGCCAGTTTTCTAAGAAGCCCCTCATTCCTTTTGGTGGCAAATGTATTTAGAGATCACAGTCTTGGTGCTAGACTGGCCATTGTGTCTTTTTAGTGAATAGAATTAGGAAATGAATTTTTTTGAAGAGAAAATATATCATAGATTTATATTCCTATTTTAAAATTCAAATTTAGGATTAGACTTTTTTTTACTATTTAAAATTTTACTTATTTAATTTGTATTTTTTTCTCTTAGTATGAGAATCTTGGTTTCAAATTACTATTTATTACAAATAAAAGTACCAAAGTATTATTAAAAAGTATGATTATTGAGAACAGTATAAATAATTTTCTCACAGTTTGTTTTGGCCTAGAGTATATTCCTCTAGGGATATACAGTAAAATTTCTATATCTTAAAATTGCTTGAAATTCTCTCCTAACTTCATAAACAATGAATTCTTGTATTGTTATTTTGATATTTAGACATTTTTAAGTTTTTGTTTTATAATTAAATAAAACATTTACATTATTCCCAAATTAAACCCATGAAACAAGGGAAGTGTAGTTTCCTAGGCCTGCTGTAATAAAATATATTAGATGCCTTAAAATGGGAGAAATTTATTCTCTCACAATTCTAGAGGCTGGAAGTGGGAAATTAAAGTGTTGACAGGACCGTCTTCTGTCCAGAGGCTGTAGGGCACAATCCTTTCCTCACCTCTTCCTAGCTTCCGGTGGTTGCTGGCAGTCCTTGGCATTCTCTGGCTTGTTGCTCTCACCTTCCTTGTCACGTGGCCTTTCCCCTGTGGGTCTGTCTTTATGCCCACATTTCCCTCTTCTTTCTTTAAGGATATTAGTTGTGTTTGATTAGAGTCCTCCTTAATCCAGTGTGACGTCTTATTAACTGGATTATATCTGCAAGCAACCTATTTCCAAATAAGGTCACATTCACAGGTTCTGGTGGGCATAAATTTAGAGGGACAGTACTAAATGCACTACAGTAGGAAACAATTTAAAAAATGGTTATATTAAAGCTAAAACATCATAGTGTTAAGATCATAGTTTTCTTTTCACTAAATATCTGGATAGGATATTACTTTTGTATTTATGAGCCTTAAACACAGTTCAGAGTCTGGTAGCTAATGGTACTGGCTGCCAGGGCAGGTCTAGATAAAATTGCATATATGATTGAATTTGTATCTTGTATTTGTCTGTCTTCCATTATACTGCCACTTAGACTCCCCCAGGTTTCTTGTACTTAGGTATTTTTTGTCTCATGTATTATTCTACCCTTGCTATCTCTTCTAAGTAACATGTCAAGCTAAAAAGTGATCTTTTCCTCAAAATAGGGCCATTCCCCCAAACCCCTCTCCCATGGGGTGCTTACCTTATGGTGACTTGATAAGAAGGAGAATGATCTGTAAGATTAGATGGTATCTGAATGAAATTTATAGGTAATAGTACATAATCAGGTAGCCTTCTCAACACATTTGCAATTTTGCATGTAAATCTAGAGGGGAAAAATGCATGGTAGTGTCACTTTGGGAATTCAAATGAGCAATTGGGGGTGACATTTTTGACTTGGGAAGATTTCTTGGTTTATGGTAAATTTTAGTTCTGTAATAAACCCCTTACCCTGTTTATAAGATAGCTTTTTCTAACAGGATAGTATAGATTTTTTAGGTGAAATGTGCTGTCATGTTATTTTTAAATGTTGAAACTATTTTTGAAGATACTTTGCTTTCAGTTATTTCATTCAGGACAAGATTATATGAAGATAATCCCAGTTTTTCATCTTTAGAATTTATTAGTGACTAGACAACTATGAAATTAATTGTAGCTATTACTTGTTTTGTTTTTTAACAGAATATTTTAAATATTCTTTTAAGCTTAGACGAGGCAAAATAATTATATACCTTTTGTTATAACAAGAGCGTATCCTTATTTCAGGGACTATATTATTCTTACTTCAAGACTATTGTGGAAGCACCGTCATTTTTTAATGGAGTCTGGATGATTATGAATGACAAACTGACTGAATATCCCCTTGTTATTAATACATTAAAAAGGTTCAATCTTTACCCTGAGGTAAGTTACTTATTCCAATTGTGATTTTTCACTTTTTAACTATTTTTTGTTTTAATGCTGATTCTAAATCTAAGATATAATTCAATATGTTAAATTTTGCTTCATTTCTTTAAAGAAAATATGTGTCTTGGAAAGGTATATGGAAAAATGATTATTGATTTTTATGGATTTGTGAGGGGGCTTTAACTGATTCTATGGGAACTATTATTGTAAGTGTTTAGAAAGTGGACAAACGCTAATAGAGTTGGTGTGCTTGTAGGGATTGCAGTAAGGAAGGGAACTTTCTTATTTTTATACGTCATTTGCCACATACTCTTTCCTCCCTCTTTTGTGTTTCTCATATAACTAAGTGTACTTTTTGGGGGAGGGGTGAGGTGGGAGAAGGTGAGTCTATCCAGGAGGTGAGAGAGAAAGGCAGTGACATTTGGTCTCTGCTTTACCCTCTGTACAAAACTATAAATTTGTTGATGTGAAACTGTCCAACAGAATGCATACTTTAATGATTTGAGTACACGTTGCCAAAATGCCTTCCACAAAGGTTCTACTAACTGAAATACTAATTAGCAGTTTTAGAAATATTTGCTTGTTCATGCCTCGTGTCCATATTTCTATTAACATTTTATAAGCCCTCATTTATTATACATGGGATGTTAATATAAAGGTATATAGATAAAACATAGTTTTTTGTTTGGCTTCTAGCTTTGTATATGATGTGTATGTATTTTTTTCTGTACAGAAGTATACCTACGAATTTTTTAAATTTATGTTCTTCCATATATACATGTAAAAAGTCTTTAGAATCATATTTTTATATTTTCAATTTATGTGGCATGGGTTTTGATGCTTAGTGAGGGGTAGAAATCTAAATATTTTTTTCTTCAAAATGGTAACACTGTGAGTGGTCTGTCCTCTCTCCACTGATTTTTAGTGGCTTTTTCATATACAAAATCATCTCACACATAATGCTTGTGTCTGTTTTTGGATTTTGTGCTCAGGTGGACGTAACAGGAAGTAGACTTTGCAATGGCGATTTGCGTAAAAGAAGTGTTGGTAGGAGTGTCTTTGGGATCCACTCCTGAAGGGAGATGAAGGAAGCAGGATGAGCGGGAGGAAGGGTTGAACTGTGTGCAGTTGCAGTGAAGGGCTTCTCGTGCCACTCTCATACCGTTTTAATCATTGTAAATGATAAGTTTTAGTATCTGTTAGGACATTCTCTTTAGTTTTCTTTCCATTATTTCTCTAGTTAAATTCTAGACACTCAGGATTTTGATTAGGATTGTTTTACATTTATGAATTAATTTGAAGTAAAATTCACATCTTGAAAAATTGGTCTTTTTAAGAGACCCGGTACTATTCTATTTGTTCAAATCTTCTTTTCTGTCCCTTATTAGAGTTTTATAGTTTTTGAAAAACATAACTCTTTTACTTGTTTTATTATGTCTTATTCTTATCTGCGGGTGAACAGTTGACGTCTGACCAGACCAGTGAAGGCATAGGAGATTGTGAGCTTCATTTTACTAGATTTAAAGGGAGTCAAGTGGATGGTGCAGAAAGGGAAAATCTGATAATTATTAAAACATCTCAAAAATATTCTAGTACTGAAAACTGGTGAGGATAATGTCTTTTCTTATGATGCTTCTGCTTCTTAAAAAAATAGGTAATCTTGGCTAGCTGGTACCGGATTTATACCAAAATAATGGACTTGATTGGTATTCAAACCAAGATATGTTGGACAGTTACCAGAGGAGAAGGACTCAGTCCTATTGAAAGCTGTGAAGGTAAATGTTTTCCTATAATATTGTCTAGTTATCTGTAACATAATTGTATATATTGTAACATAATAAACTTACACACCCAGCATAATAAACTTACCCCAGACTTAGTGATATACATAGCAACCATATTATGATGCTTGTTCATGCTGCATATCTAGAATTTGAATAGGCAGTAGCAATTGCCCTAGCCTAGCTAGGGGTGCTCTGTCCCCATAATGTGGGGAGGGGGTCTTCTGCTAGTTAGACGCAAGTATCTGGAAAGACTGGAGTCCACTGGCGACTGCTTCACTTAGATTTTGGCTTTCGGCTAGGGTGATTGTGAGGCTGAGCTCGGCAAGGACTGTCAGCTGGGGCACATACATGTGGCTTTTCTATGTGATTTGGGTTCTTTTTATAGCAAGGTACCTCAGAGTAGTAGTTAGGCTTTTCCTAGGGCAACTCAAAGCTCCAGGCTGTACCCTGCATGGTCTCTTATGACCTGGCCTCAAAAGTTACGTGGTATTGCTTCTGCTGTACTGTGCTGAAGCAGTAACAAATCCAACCAGACTCAAAAATAGGAGTCATAGGCCTTCTAACTCTGTAGAAGGTATATCAGTGAATTTGCAGCCTTGTTATAAAACCACATAGCTCCTCCCCTGTTCTCATCTGTGTTCTGCAGTAGTATCAGGTTTTCACTTGGGAACCAAGGCAACCATTTAATATATCTACAATTTTCAAATTAAACATGGCTTAATGTAAATTGCTAGACAGATTAATATAATTTGTGGTTAGAACATATGTTTTATTTTTAAAGGTTTGGGAGATCCTGCTTGCTTTTATGTTGCTGTAATTTTTATTTTAAATGGACTAATGATGGCACTATTCTTCATATATGGCACATATTTAAGGTAAGAGAATATTTTAGCATGTATTTATAAGATATACTAGAATAATAAAAATAGTTGATTAATTAATAGTTAATCATTGATAAGCTGATAGATCAGTGTCATAACAGTCTTATTCCTAAAATATCTACTTGTAGTTACAGAATTATTTCACATTCGTATAACTTCATGATTGGATTCCAGTGTTATTTTAGAGCATGGGTGTCCAACCTGAGGCCCCTGGGCTGTGTGCACATTTTGTGAGGACTTTTTTTGCTTATCTGTGGTGTGGGATATCATGAAGAGTATGCATGGACCTTTTTTTTAATGCCAAAAAAACACTTTCCTTAGTGTTTGTCTATTTACTTTGTGGCTCAAACAATTCATATCTTTCCATTGTATGACAGAAAAGAAAAAAGATTGGACACCCCTGTTTTAGAGGCTTAAATAGAGCTTGGTGGAGGTACTTAATAAATTTTAAATACATTTATAGGCATCTTCATCTTAGGATAATGACTTTGAGTCTGCTGTTATCCCATCATCTTCTCTGCTTTGGAAGTCTGGCATTTTCAGTTTAGTACCTCAAAGATCTGTTAAGTTTCTAGCTCAGTATTTGAGTATATAGCAGTTACTTGATAAATATTGTCAAATGAGAAAGCTATTAAAAGATAAATTTAAAATACATTTGCATGTAGATTTAAGACACTTTCATGCTAATATTTCTGACTTAGATCTAAGAAAATTCTTTTAATTATTTAATTGGGGATATTAAAATGGAAATGCATGATTAAAAGATGATGTGAAAAGTGAAAGATTTTGTTTTTGAAATAAGACATGAAGAAATATCCAAAAGAATATGATAATCAGAAAAGGAGGCCAACTTGAGAGAAAGTGGGCCAGTGTGCTCGTATGATGAGCCAAAGGGAGAGAAACTTGGTGACACATACTCATTTTGCTAAGTATTGCCCATATGTCTTTATCACGTTTGAGAGATTAGATTTTAAATAACAGAAGCTATACTGTGAACTATGGCATGGTAGCTAAATTGCTAGTCTTTACTTAATACTACTTTTTTTTTTGAGATGAGGTCTTGCTGTGTTGCCCAGGCTGGAGTGCAGTGTCTCTTCACAGGTGTGATCATAGTACACTGCAACCTGGAACTCCCGGGCTCAGGTGATCCTCTTGCCTCAGCCTTCCAAATAGTTAAGACTGCAGGTGGGTGTTACACCACTCAGTTATTTTTTTTAGATCCTCTTGCCTCAGCCTTCCAAATTTTAAGACTGTAGGTGGGTGTTACACTACTCAGTTATTTTTTAATTGAACATTGGATTTTTAAACATTTACTAAAGAAAACATGCATGTTGTTTTCTTGTAATGCTTGTTATAACCTTTTTTCAAAGGCAGGAGGCACAACATCTGGTGAAGAGAAGACAAGGGTCTGTTTTTGGTTGAGGGGTTGAAGGTAGTTTGGGCCCTGACCTGAACTTTGTCAGTCTTCAGCCCTGACAGTGCCTAATAGGCAGTTTTCTGCCTACGTGGGAGTTGCATATTCAGTCAACACATAAAGTACCTACTAAGTAGTTTCTTTTTTAAGACTGTGTTTTGGCTCTGAGAGTAAGGGAGTGGGGCAGGGTGGGAGATGGAGGTGATGACAGGGTGTGTGTAATGGAAAATAGGAAAGTGCTTAAAATTCCCAAGCCAGGGGAAATTTGTTCCGTATAGAGGGGCCACTTTAGCTTGACCTTGGACAATCAAGGATACTGGTATTGGGATAGGTGGTAATAAACAATGAGGAAAAAAGTATCCCAGGGAGAGGCAAAGATGGAAAATCTGGGTCCTAAGAAGCAGGTAATATTTAGGTCAGTTTTATTGGGCTACATGTTCTTGAGGAAGACTAAGATAGACACAGCAGCTGGTCTGGGTGGTGAAAAGCTTTGATACTAGTATGGTTTGAAACTTATTCTAAAGCAAGTAAATAAAATGGTACACTTTTGACCAGTACAGGGACAGGATTCAAGCTGAGCTATGATCTCATGAGATGCTGGACTTGGACCAGACCCCAAAATATTTAATGTTTGTCACACTGCAGGGCATGATCTATTGGGGGTTTTAAAATCAAATTTAGTCTGTTGAGCCTAGCAGTTTTGTTTTTTTTTTACATGAAAAAGAAAAGAATACAAATATAAACAATAGCATCCTAACATTTAATAAGGTTAGGTACTAGAGAAGCGTCTATCTGCTACATATGTGTGTATATGAATGTGTACTGAGTGGCAGTGTAAAGTTTTATTACTTATACTGTAGTTTTATTATAAAAAGAAAAGTGTTACCTATTGCTTAAGGTGGCACAAGTGAACAACTCATACCTTAGAGTAGTGACTTTCAACTGGTGTGCCATCTTTGGTGTGTGGTGAAAACTTTTAAAGATTGTTAATTATTTTCGGAAGAAATTCAAAGCACAGTAAGTATGTTCTTTTTTTCTGCTCTCTCTCTTTTTTTTTTTTTTGGTCAGCGTAATTTAAATTTGCTATGGAAATTTACCTATAGTTTCAAGCATGCCATGAGATAAAAAGGGTTAATACTACCATAGAGCATTAGGATCTTTCCAAATAGTTGTCGCTGGTTCTTGTGCAGTGTTAAGGGCTGCAGCTGATTGCAGCTCCCCTGCTTGAGGGCTTCCTGCTGAAGGCCCCTTTGGGGTTGCCCAGGTCTTGTACTGTGCAGTGGTCTGTACTTGGCAGCACACATTTTCATTTTTCATTTTCTCTTCTTCTGTTTATGGTCTTTGCCTTAACCCTGAATAATCCCTCTAACTCTTTCCAAAGCCTCAGAACTTAACATTCTTCCCAGCACTACTCATCACCAATGAGCTTGCAGTTCTTGTATATAAGGGAGCCATTTATATTCTTAGGAAGCCTGGACTGTTCCATTGCTCTCTAAGGGCGTTCATATAAATTGCTCTCAAATGTTGATCCTGATGTATGTTGTGTTCAATAAATGTCTCATCACTTCTTTTCTATCAGTTTTTTTGTTGCATTTTTATGTTTTTCATTTGATATTTAAAGGCCTCAAATTTCTAGTTCTTAATGTTACCCTCCTTATTAGTTTAATCACCCTTCTAATTTTATGAGTGAGATCAATTTGCAGACTTCTTAAATTAGAGCTAAAGAAGAGAGTATCTAAAATTGTGTTTAGTTGTTTTTTTTTTTTAATAAATTGTGTTCTATAATTGGGAAATAAAAGTTGAGATTGGTCTATTAGAAGTTTGCAGCAGATTAAGGCTGACAGTTTTTAATTCAGAAGTATATTAGTTTTAAAGTAATATAGAGAAATGATTTTAGAAGTTAGATAAGCTAGTCTATTTTATCAGAGATGAGAGTAGAAGGGAAAATAGAACAAAAACTTAGTCATATGATGAATGGGCCCCACCTGCCAAGCTCTAAACTTGAGGAGATCGAGTGAGATCTGTTCTGCAAACACAACTTACTCATGTTGTAATTCTTTTTCTGGAATTCTCAGTATTATAGTATTTTTAATATTGCTCATTGTTAAGTTTTTAAAGTTTTATTGTTAATTCATAGTTACAGTTGTTTATTTCCTAAGATACCTTGATGTTTCTAAGCCACAGACTAACAGTTTTTGGAAGCTTGTTTCTTAAGATGCAGTATGTGTAAATCTCTGTTCTGCAAGGAGGAAGGAACATGAGAAAGTGGTTTGGGGGCATTTAGAAACTTCCTGCACTGTTTCTTTTAGGGGAAATTCATATATGCCTAAAATTCTCTTGTTGATAAATACTAAAACTTTTGTTGTTGGACTCAGGGCAGGTATCAGGCAAGTGATAGTAAACCTTTTATTCTTTGCAGTTTAGTTTGATTTTAGTAATATTCTAGAATTAGAGGTTACCTTTACCTTGTGCATTGTGGAGAGGAATAGACTGGACAAGATATTTAGCTACTAATTCCTTGCGTAGGCAATAGTGTCTCCTAGCCAGCTCTCTGGAAAGAACACATGCATACATAGAATTTGTTATAAATTTCCCTCTTATAGAGGATGTGTACAAATGATAACAGGATTTATAAACTGGATTTGTTTTTTTTTTTTTTTGAGACAGAGTCTCACTTTGTTACCCTTGGTGGAGTGCTGTGACGTCACAGCTCACAGGAACCTCAAACTCTTGGGCTCAAGTGATCCTCTTGCCTCAGCCTCCCAAGTAGCTGGGACTAAAAGTTCCCGCCACATTGCTCAGCTATTTTTTAGAGACAGGGTCTCTCTCTAGCTCAGGCTGGTTTAGAACTCATGAGCTCAGGCAATCCACCTGCCTTGGCCTCCCAAGTGCTGGGATCACAGGAGTGAGCCACCTTGCCCAGCCTTGGAAAAGTGAAGATCCTTTAGGTAAAGAAATACAGAGGTGCTGAAGAGAATTACAACATTTTTCATACAAAGGCAATCATACAGATATGAGATTCGATTGTTTACTATTGCTTATACTCTAAGGGGGTTGATTATGATTTTATTATAAAGAAGTGATAATCACAAGGGTCTCTGTTATAAAGAAGTGACAATGACAAGGGTCTCTATTTCCAGTGTCATTTAATCTAGGTTTGGATGCAGAATAGGAAGCTGGTTAATAAACAGCATCTCAACACAAAGGGCAGGAAGCAGTAGTCATGCACCAGAGCAGCAAAACAGGCACACTGTGTGACTCAGTTTCCTGGACTTAACTGTTCTCGTAGGCGGAATACTTTTGGAATGGCTTGAAATTTTGCTTCTGTTTCTATAAGAAATAGATGCATGGAAGTCCTTGCTTTGTGTTTTATGCACCTCTATAATTTGAGTACATTATCTATGATATTACCCATTTTACTTAAAAAAATTTATGTATTAAATGTGCCGTACCTATGGAATTGTATAAAAACCTTTACATACATTTTTAAGGATTAGTAAAATAAACACCTATGTTCCTGTAACACTGATAAAGAAATAATGAGTTATCACAAGTTTTATACCCTAAAAATTCCTTTTAA